CTCGACATCGTGCACTCGCCCAAGGCCGTCCGGGAATACGAATAAGGCCTATTGCCCTTTGCACAACTGGGTCCTGGAGTGGTAGAAATTGATCTACTAAACTATGGTAATCGATAGCCTGAAATCTGTATTATTATCACTTTGTTTGAAATTGTGGCATTTACTAACCAAAAATTCAGTGATTGAGAAGAACAACTCCCCTCTGCTGACTGTCAGCTGATTGTGAACTGACTGTTGGCCAACTGCCGGTTGACTATCAGATAACAGGTTTTTTCAGGGAGTATTGCTTTAATAACAATTATTTTCAATCATTAGGGCCCAGATGGAAATTGTATCAAATTGTGAAAATCTGGTTAATAATTACAATTATTCACTGGAGACAAGTGAATGTTGTTGAATAATCCCTATGAAGTCAAAGAGATTATGAAAAAGTGTTCATTGGGCCTGAGGCAAATAATTGTTTTAGTATAATCACTCAGGTGCTTTTGAAATCTACTGTAAATAAAGAAAGCATTACTCATATTTTGTTACAATTGTGGTGATTACTTGTATTAAGATAAGCAAGGATTTTTAACAGATTTAATTTAATCAGAAAAAGACTTTTGAAAAGCGTTTTGCAAAACTCCGAGTAGCATCTTTTGTGCCCCTTGAAACTGAATTTTCTACTATAGCATTCATCACTTCCCTGGAAAAATCGACGAAAATGTGAGGCAGCCATTTTGAAATTTAGCACTCCTGCTGTAATCACCTTGTGTGAGATGATTATAGCAGATACACAATCCTTCACCAATCAGAGCATGCACATCTCTATAATCACCAAAGCAATTATACCAACTGTACTATTATTATTACTAATATTGTCATAATTACTCATTCATTCATTAGGAAGCACTCCAGCATCCTGCTGCTCACCGCTTGTACATTACCCATGTGTTGAAAGATTTTGACTGTGATGTACATTTCCCAGAATTTGACAAAACTGTATTTAGGGAAACAAGGTATGTAAAAAGGGCTTTTTCCTTTTAGGGGAAAAAAAAACTCTTAGCTCAGTTCTTACAACAACTTGGTGAGACACACTGAATTGCAATTTTTTGTTTGACCCAAACATGTTAAGTTCAATTGTAAGGCTAGGTCAAATGTTGACATAATTCATTAAACCAAACAAACAAAAACAAACCTGTTATTCAACAGGATGTCATTTGTAATTTATGTAGTAACTTTAGCTCATATAAAGATTAACATTTGTTCCACAGTTGATCCTCACACATTCTATCCCTCTGAAGCAGACAGATAGAACTTGTTGATGGATCCAAATTGAGATGGAAAAACTCAACAGATTCAAATGCCGAACTTGACATGAACTTGATTCTCTTTGAATGTTTTGTTGCATGTGAAGTTCAACGTTTAAATTAGGCCTTGGTATAATTTTAGTGCGCAGGTGCTGTTTCATGTGAACTATTGGGTCCCTGCCAAGTTGATGAGTTTTCCTCTATTTTCCACTGTGAAATGTCATATCAACAGTTTCACAAATGAAGTATTCAGTGAATGGTCTTTTCTCTGCTATGTTTGGAACATCTGACTTAGGCTGGATAACCAGCCTCCGTTCACAGGTAGACTACCCACAGGTTGGACAGGGAGGCCAAACCTCTTGAATACCATGTATAAAAGGAATGTGTGACAGATGCAAATAAATGACTGAAAAATAAACACCATTTCTTTGTCTAAAAAAGCTCAATAATTAAAAGTGAAGCAGAATGTTGGTGAACTTAAGTGTAGCAATCTTTTGCCTCTGTGGGCCGTTTAAAGTGTCCTTTTACTGAATGGTTCCCAGCTGTTGGTATTCCAACATATAAATTAGCAGTGGAGAAAAATTTATAGTGGGCAATTGTTGGCAGGTTTAATTAGACATTTTTGTGTTTTATTTAGTGATCCAGATGTGCCAAGTGGTGTTCATGAAGATAATGGAATCAAATATGAGTTTAAAGTATACCAGCGAGATATCTAATACTGTATACAAGCTACATCACAGTGTACATGAAGCTCACTTAAAGGAAGAATGTATCTCAAAGAAATTAAAATGTAGTGGCTTCAAGCCATGGAAAGTAGCCTTGTCAAGGCTGCTAATGAAGGCCTTAAGGCACTAATAAAATAAAAACCTCAGGCACCAAAGGATTTACTTTCTTCTCTTTCTTATTGGAAAGTACAAAGTAAGAAGTCAATTTTTAAAATTATGTGTTCTGCAGGTTTTAATAACTTTCTCCATAAGCAGCTATTAGA